GCGAAGTGGAGAGGTGGGTCAGGCGCGAGCGGGCAGCTCTCCAGCGAGGGACTCGAATGGTGCCCTCAAGTGCCGATGTGCGGACACAGTCGCTCCTAGGTGCAGTCGGATCCAATGGGGGGCAAGCAACGGATCTCAGGCAATCTCGGCGGATCTGGGCGGATCTCGGCGGATCTCGGCGGATCTCGGCGGATCTCGGCTGATCTCGGCTGATCTCGGCTGATCTCGGCTGATCTCGGCTGATCTCGGCGGATCTCGAGGCTGGCCTGCAGGTGGGTCATCCGAAGGACACCGCGCAGCGAGTCGGGCGTGTTTGCGTCCTTGATTAGGGCGGCGAGGCCCTCTGGCCACGCGCCCATGCTCTCCTTGTACTTGACCGCCTGGAAGAGCGTGTTGGCGAGGTTCGAGTCGTTCTCGTAGAAGCCTTCTGGCCGCGAGTACAGCGGCAGCAGCCGCCGCTTGAGAAGCCGCTCCACAAAGCCGTCGAGCGCGCGGATGCCCGCCGCTGCCGCCAGCTCCCGAACCTCGTCCCACTCGCGGCTGCCCACCTCGCGGCTGACGGAGAGGAGCATGTCGGCGCAGACCTGCAGCACGAGCTTCGACGGGTGCACGCGCCCCTCGCCGCTCTCCTGCCTCGCGATGAGCAGCTCGTTCCGCCGCTCCTCCAGCGCGCCGTCGAGCTCGCTCCGCGCGCGCTGCGCCTCGCCGCCCTCGATCAGGTCGCGGCCCGACTTGCGCGTGTGGTGCACGCGGCGCAAGATCGTGTACGAGCGGCGCGCGAGCTGGACGTACCTATCCGAGGTCGCGCGAGGTCGCGCGAGATCGCGCGAGATTGCGCGAGATTGCGCGAGATTGCAGGACGTACCGGTAGCCGCGGGAGAGGAGGACGAGGGCGGGCGAGGAGGTGTGGACGGCGCGCTCCGACGCGGTGGGGTGCTTGACGAGCAACAGGTACGACTCGACGCCGAGGGCAAAGGTGAGGATGAGAAGGTCGAGCACGGTCCACAGGCGGAAGGAGCGGGAGGTGCGGAGCAGTAGCGGGCCGAGCGCCGCGGAGACGAGGAGCGACTCGGCGAGGAAGGTAACGATGGAGAGCATGGAGATGACTGTGACTGCGAGCATGGCGGCGGCAAACGCGCCGTACCCGCTCTCGCTGCAGCTCGGCTCCGGCTCGACGTCGCTCGTGGTGGTGGTGCTTGTGATGACGCCGTCGTCTATGACGGTGACTGTGCTGCTGTTGGCGGGACAGCTGGCGAGCGCCTTGATGTTTCCAACCGAGGCGTGTCACATGCACCGTCCGCTTGTTGCAGTTGCTTTCTAGCGCTGGCTCTCCCCTCCTGGTGGACGACCACAGTCTGCCACGAGGGACCGGATGTGGGCGAGGTCTGGCCAAGACCTGAAGGGTC